CAGAGCACGCAGCATCTGCGCTTCCCATTGCGTACCGGAGCAACTGTGGGGACTCCTGGGGCAGGCAGGAAAATTGCTTTCTGAGTGAGAATAAAAGAAGTGCAACTGTCCCCTTTTTGGGAACTGGTTTCAGGGCAGAAGTTCCCCCAGCAGCACAGCGTGCCCTAATGAAATGGAAGCAGGAGCTGCCCCCGGAGGGGCCCTACGTGTGAACCGCTGCCATGTCGAATCCACACCAATCCCTCCTCCGGGAGCCCCTGCCCTGTAATTACTGCTTTTCTCTTTGTGTGGGCCACCCCCCTCCTCCATCCCCTTTCCCCCCCCTCCCGTGTGCGCCCCATAAGAGGATATTTGTAATGAAAATCGCTCGGCAGAAGCAGAGAACAAAAGCAGAGGCGAGAGGCGCTGGGCTCCCACCTCCGGCCGTGGGGTGGGCAATGGGGGCCAGGAGCTGCTTATTAACCTTAATCTGCAGAAAGGGGCTGGAGCTGTGCTGTGCATGGTTTCATAGCTACAGCAGCTCTCTCCCAGGCGTGCAGCCTTATGAAGGGGAGATCTCCCAGCAACGCTCCCGGCCGGGGCTCTAATGCGTTTTGCATCGTGCTGTCTAATCTGGGTTGGAAACGTCACCAGGATCCGGCCCCAGGATGGCAGATCCCAGCCACAGCCCTGCTCGTAAGCACATATCCAGCTCCAGCCTTCTGGTTGCTGGGGTGAAAGGGCCTCTTCATCTCCACAGGGAGAGGCAGATGAATCCCAGGCTCTAACAAGGGACCTGCTTCCCCCCCACCTCTGGCTCAAGGGTCCTTTATTATGTCTTTTAATTCTCAGCTGTGAGTAGGAGGTAGCAATAAGACCAGAGAAATGGGGGGCAAAAAGCCCCTCGCAGTGGGGAAAGGCCTCAGCTGCCGGTGTGTGAAATGGGATGGCAGTAGGGGGATTAGAGATGTCAGCTCGTGGGAAGCAGTGGATATTTAATATCTTTGCTCACTGACTGCAAGGCAGTGATGGGCCCAAGGGAACATGACATGGGATGGAGAGAATGACACAAGAGCTGAGCTTGTATCTCTTAACATCAAATTGTGGGCCTGGTGGCTCATCTTTTCCATATCTGGTTGGCATGGGATGTTCTTGGCACAGGGAACCAAGCAGGGCTTCTTCCCAAATGGGAGCCGTTGCCTGGGCCATGTCCTCCTCCTGATGGATGCAACTTGTTCGTGGCACAGGCACTGAGCATGCTGCTGGATGGTCTGTGTGCAGCATGTTGGGTGTTTGGAGAAGTTTTTGCTCTAAGACAGCAGTGCTGCACTGCACAGGGAGTGGTGGGGTCACCATCCCTGGTGGAGTTCCAGAACCATGGGGATGTGGCACTGAGGAACATGGGCATGGTGGGGTGGGGTGGCAACAGGGATCTGAGAGGTCTTTTCCAGCCTTAACGATTCTATGATTCTGTACTCTGTGTTCTGTTCACGTTTTACATCCACTACGGGAACTAAGTCCTTTGAAGCATTAGCACCTCTGATGCTAACTTTTGCATGCGGAATTCTTTGTGCAAAGAGCACGTGCTCCTGCATCCATCAATATTTTTGTGCCATGACACCAACAAAAATTGCTGGATTCCTCCATCTCCTCCAGAATGCATGCTGCATTTCTCACCCAGCTCACCTCTCTGCCCCCCAGGGGAAGCTGCCCCTCATGGAAAAGGGCTGTTCAGAGTGGTTCTGGCAGGATGGAGATCACTTCTTGTTGCTTCCTTTGTAACAAGTGATGAAGACCAAGCGACCCGAGCCTTCCCATCGTGATTGATTGGTAAAGAGCCTTCCCAGCACTGCACTTCATCACTGCATCAAAAGGCAACGTGCCCTTAATGAACCTGCTCTGCTCTGGGCTCTGTCAAGCTGTGCTAAGCTTTTGTTTTGCTTTTGTCCATGCAAGTGAATTCTAATAAACTAGCACATGGCTGTTGTTTCCAGCACAAAGCACAAACACACCCTTGCACGTTTAGAGAGTTTTCTCCCAGATTCACGTGCGTGTTGAAAGCAGCCCCAGTGGGCTGTGTGAACCCCCCCAGTCCCTTTAGGCAAGCACTAGGAGCTGGGCAGTGGTGCTGCATGGGCAACAGGATGGATGGGCAAGCAGGATGCAGGGCTGCCCATCACTTGGCTCTCCTGTCCCCAGGAAAGCAGCGTCCTGGGTATAAATAGGCACCATGCGTTGGGATCTTTTTAAGGGCAGTTCTTGACCCAAAATGTTCCTCTGTCAAAAATAAGCTGTCCCACCCCTTTCAGCAAGTTCACCTGAAGCCCAAAAGCTGCATTAGAACACTGTGTATTCAAGTGCATCTCACATCAAGGGCTTGAAAACAAACACCAGCGATGCCTCTTTTCGATCGCATTCCTTTCCGCGACAGGCTGATGATTTCCAAGCCAAGAATGTCACTAACCTCTCATATTTCTCCTGGTCATTTTTGTCCTGAAATTGGAACGCAGCCACAGGCAAAACGGGGCTGGACGCCCTCGTGTCACAGATCCAGATTTAAGAGACGTTATCTCATCGGCAGCCAACAACAAGGCTGGCACGCCGTCAGGCGCGATGTTCCCTGGGAAGCTCAGCGTGCACTGCGAGGGATGCTGGGGGCAAACAGCTCAGTGTGAGCTGGTCCAAGTACTCTGAGATCCTCCTGGTGGCCTCAGCCAAATACCCCTAAACACGCTGTGCTTGTGGGAGATGGAGAGTGCTCGGCTGGGAGCGAAGAACTGGGATTGTAGGGAGATCGGGGACACAGCATCCAGGCATAAGATGAGAGTGGCTGAGCAGGGCTGCCTATGTTGCCTTCCTTGGGCAACAAGTTTGCTGCACTTGTTCTGTGGATGGTGTTGTCCTTAAGCAACTGTTCAGCTTTTCTGCTTGGCAGCAGCTGTGTTTAGCCTGGAGCGTGGCTCGAGCCCTGGCAGATAAGAAAGCACTGAGAGGTTTTGCAATCTCTCAGCCCTCCGGATTGTTGTCGGGAAAAACCTCAGAAGGACCCCATGTCATCAGTGTGAATTTAGAAAGCGGTTGCAGGAGAAACATTGTTTGAGGGGAAAAAAAAAAACCAACAGACAAACAGGAACAAATCGCCCTCAGCTCTGCAGGATTAGTGCTTAGGGGCTCCAGCACTGCAGCAGCAGAATGCAGAAGGACCACAACCTTTGCGATGGTTTTTGGTAATATATTTAGTGAAACCAGGTGTGAACGCCATGCCCAGGAGCGGCTCCCCCAGAACGCAGTCGGGATTCAGGCAGGCTGCAGGTCCGGGTTGCGCTTACCCTGCATCCCCATCCTCATCTCCGGGCTGCTGCAAGAGCCGCAAGAGGGAGCTGCGGGCTGTGCCTGCATCTCCCCCGGCGCTGCAGAGGCGCACGGTGGTGCTGTTGTCTCAGCCATGGCAGAACCTCTAAGGGCTGAGGGGACGCAGCCTGTGGGATAGGGGATGAGGGGACCCCACCGAGCTGGAGCCGGGTGTGGGGCAGGACTCAGCTCTCACGATGTGGTTCTTCTCCCAAATCCGAACCCATTTCCAGCCCTGCTTCAGGTCTCTTCCAACCCAAGTCGTGCTAACTCATGGTGGATGTTCTCAGGGAGAGGAAAATGGTGGTGGTGTCCCCATCCCAGGGGGACACTGCTGTGCCAGGTGGCAGGGACGGGCTGGCTCGCACAGAAAGCTCCAGCCTGGGTTTGGAGAAAACTTTCCCATGGAAGATCCCCTGACACTGCTGCGTTCCCACCAAGAGCTTTGATTTCAGTCTATCGGCATTTTCCGATGAGAAACCAGCTCATAGGAAAATTCCCAACGAGAAAAGAGAAACTCCCCAGCGTATCAGGAGGGATGCTGTCGGGGGAAGAAACATAACACCAGCAGGGTCGTGTGTTTAGAGGCTCTGGGTAAAGCCAGATAAAGCACGGAAACCACAAAGTCCTGCAACGGAGCTGCACTGGCTTTGCTCTGTGCCTGCTTTCCCAGGACTTCTCTCCTGGTATTTCTGTCACCAGGATGCTGGTGCTCTGTGTGCAGGCAGAGGGTGCAGTGTGCATGCAGAGCAGAAGCACGGCAGATGGACCTGTTAGGGGTGTGGATGCAATGGGAGTGCAAACTGAAGCCCCAGTGGCTTGCCTTGCCTTGGGTGGGGGCTTGAGCTAGGAGAGGAACAAGGTGATGTGAGAACACAGAGTTTAGCTCATGTTGCTTCTTGTCTTCCTTATGACCACTGATTAACCTCAGGTCCTCACAGAGGGACATATCCACTCCACTGCATTTAATGAGGCTGCAAGGAGTGGGATGAGAGGGACAAGCACTTCCCCTCTCTGCACTGGACCTCACACACTTGTTATCCTCAGTGGGATAGAAGCAGTCAAACAGGAGGCTTGAAACCACGATTAAGGTTATTTAATCCACCTCTCTCTGCCCAGGGGCTCCTCTTCCTGCACCAAGCTAAATGCTATGGTCACACATCAACTTCAGGGGGGTTGCACAGGAGCTTCTGCACGACTTTGCCCAGCTGGCTTTAAGATGACCCTTTGGAGGGAGCTGTCAGTGACCTTGTAGGACAACACAACTCATCCCTCGGGTCCTCTGATGCAGAGCAATCCTTCCTGGCACAGCAGGCCCCCAGGACCCTCACCCTTTGCTGTCTCCGTGCAGCAGTTAGCGAGTCCCTCTGCGAGGCCTGCACTTCTCAGATGTTATGTCTGGAAGTTGGCTCTGTTTTTTTGGCTTGGGGGCCCAGGGTCTGGAAGCAGAGAGGCTTTTATGGGAACCCAAGTCCCCTTTTGACACAACTTCCTTGTGCTTAAATTTCAGGTTGAGTTACAGGCTTGAACATTTTCTGGTTGGATATCTTTCATTGTCAAAGGGGATTAGGCCAGTGATTATTTACGTGCACCTCTATTACACAGAGTCTGTTTCTTTTCTTTCTTTTTTTCCCACATCGTTCTGCATAATGAGTAAAGGGTCCCATAGATGGGGGGAAGAGAGTGAATGAGGCTGCTGCAATGCAAGGCCCGACATCCCTGAGCCTCAGGGCTGCTTTGGTGTCTGCAGGGAGAGCATCGCCATCCCGCAGTGCGTTGGGTTGGTGCGTGGCACAAAGGCCCGTGGGTTCACTTTGGGGTGGCTCCTTTGGAGCTTTGGCTCCTCCACAAGAAGTGGGGATATTTTTCAGGACCCAACACGCGTGCGTTTTAAAAGAGATTTTTGATAGAAGTCCCATTTACTCCTTTATTTGGCTTGGGAGGCTGCAGTGGAACAGATTTCTTTACATATCCTTGAGTGTTATTTGATTAAGGTTATGACTGCTAATAAACACTCAGAGTCTATCCCCCTTCCCCACCACTTGCAGCTCAGGACAGCTCTGTTCCCGGCGCACTGCCTGTAGCAATGCAAGGGCTGAGGTGCTGATTCTGCTCCCCTTCCATCAGCACATCGGTGTGCTGCTCACTTTGGGGAAAATCACTCTGATTTATTCCAGCTTTATAAAGTAAGAGAAACTAGAAATGGGAGGAGCGCCAGGAGTGGTTCTGGCACGATAACCAGTTTACTTCCCTTTCCTTCCCTGTGCCATTTACAATCACAAGTTCTTCTATCAAACAGCTACGAGCAGAGCAGACGTTGCCCAGGAGTCAGAAGAACTGAGGCTGCAGGATGGAACTGACATAAACAAAACCCTGTTTAGGAGGTGAGTGAGAGAAGCAGGTTCTGCTTGGGAAGGGAGAAGGCAGGAAGAAAGCAGGAGCCCAGAGGACTCTACCTGCCACCTGGAAAATGAGTGTGCTCCCTATTCACGCTGCCCTCCTCTCCCTGAAGGCCGAGGCCTTCGTGCCTGGACGTCAAGCACAGTCTCTCCTCAACAGTCATAATAAGTCTTACACGGTGCAGCACACTAATGAAAAGCTGTGTGGGCTAGTTCCTAATTACAACCATCAGTTAAACTGTCAGAGGGAGCTCCCAACCTCAGTTGTTGCATTGTTAGACTTTGGACCTTGATGAGCTGCAATCAGGCATGAAAGCATGACCAGGGCAGAGCCAGGGAGGTCTCTGCTCTCCACCAAATGGTGGCAGCTGAGAGGGAAAGGAGGACACGAGCCCCATGGGCACATCCTGCCACCTTCCGTGCACCCATGCTTGCTGACTTTGTCAGGCTTCAGCCTTTTGAAGAGACCATCCTGTAGCTGGTGATGCCCCATTCCTGCAGACACCCAGAATCAGGGGACGAGGCTCCAAGCTCCTGATGGAGCTGTGGGTATCCCTGTGCATTGCAGGGAGTTGGGCCAGGTGGTCTTTAAGGTCTCTTCCAACTCAAATCATTCTATGAACTCAGCCCTTTCAACATAGGCTTCCTGCCTTGGGACATTCAACTATAGACATCCCATTTCAATACTCATGTTACCCAGGGAGGAGTTCATATCACAGTGCCTTTCAGACACATCTGGATTTGAAGTGCCCCACAGGATGATGTTTGGGAACTCTTCCTCCACTCAGTGGTCCCTTTAAATTTCACATGGACCCAGTGGAGAAGAGGCATGCAGATGGCAAGGCTTAACAACAACAGCACCGGTTTATTTGAACTGGGGTCTTTATGGAAAGACGTGTTTGTTTTCTCAGACCACACATTATTAACTAATCTCTTGACTTTGTTTTTATAGTCGCATTGTGAGCAACTTCCTACTTCTCACCCCCTTCATCCATCAAAAAGTCTTAGGCTTATAAGTAAGGCGTCCCACACCAGGGATGGATTTCCATCCCTTTCTGCTCCCTTCTCTAGCAGAAAGAAGCCCTCCTTCCAGCCAGAGCATCGTACTGGAATGTCCTCAGATCTTTGGAAATGATCATCTCTGAATTCCATCTTAGGGAATTCAGACTGAGCAGTCTCGTTTTTGCAGTTGGCACTGCAGTGCTGTGCAAGAGCCATTGGCAAAGCTCAAACGTTGCTGTGGCGAGGAAGGGACAGGATTTGGGGCTGCAGCTGCTCACCGGGTTTCACCTGCGACTTTCACAGAGAATCTCCTCTGATCACCCCCAGCCTTCCCCTGACAAACAGAAATCTGAAAAGAAACAGCCTGTTCAGGAGGGATCTCAGGGGTCGGGGGGCTCTGCTGCATAGACCCACACAGCTGTTAATCACCAGAATATCTCTGACTCCCAGCAGCTGTCTGCTGTTTATCTGAGCCGGGATATCCACTGGCTGAGCCCGCAGAGAGCAGGCTGTGCAGCCAAACCAAACACAAATGGAAGACAGATAATTTGCACACGATGGTGTGCACGTGTGTTTGGTGCATGCACACGCAGGCTTTGCTCACGTCCTGCTGCTGTGACTGGGAAGCATAGACATACAGAGCTTGCTGAGTCTTGCAGAACCAGTGGCTGAAATTGCATCTAGAAGAGCTCCCCAGGACACCTGTGTGGTTAGAGGGCTCATAGAATAACCTGTCCCACCTGGAGAAGAGTAATCATCTGTCCTCGCAGGGCTGTGAGGGCTGGGGAGCTGATATAAGTCAGGCTGAGGTGAGGCTGGCTGCTTTTTGGTGGAGTGGTTGGGCAAGGCAGTGCTCTGGGTACGTTTGGCATTGGTGGGAGGGTTGGGGGGGGTAACAAAGGAAGGCAAAAGCCTTGAGGAGCAGTAGGGAGGTGGTGAGCATGTTATGCCTGGATCTTTTGGAAGGCTTACAGCCTTTTTTTCTTCTGTTCCCAGGTTCCTTCTGTAGTGGCCAGATCATCTTGAGGCAGCAAGGACCTGGGATGCTGTTTGCTTGGGTAAGGTAAGGCTTGGTTGAACTTGTTGACTGGTGGGAATAGACCTGGGTTTCTGTTAATGTAGCTGTTGTCCAGGTGCACACTAGACTGGCTTACTGAATGTTGTGGTGCTTCCAACTAGCTTTTATTTACCTCTCAGTTGGCTGTTCTTAAGTCTTCCTTTTGGAAGTCATGCTCAGGTTCTCATTGCTGCTTACCATCACCTGAGGCTCCAAGGGGCTCTGGGCACTGTGAAAGCTACAGGAGCTGCTGCTCTGAGGCTGAAACCTTGCTGCTCATTACTCTGCTTCCTCCAGTGGCAGCTGCCAGGATGAGCTGCAGTGCTGGCTGCTGCAGGCTGTGCTCTTTGCTAGGTGGGAAGCTGGAGGATGGTGCTGAGCTGTGCTTTGGGCTGTGCAGTGAGTGAGGGCTGTGCATTATCTATTATCCCCTGTTCACCTCTCGCTCTCTGAGTACAGTGAGTGCTTTGCATGGAAATTGTGCAACAAAGGCCAGAATGTCTTCCAAAGCAGTTAGGCTTTCTTGGCTGTGAATGCCCAGCTTTTCTCTAGTTCTAACTCTGGTATTTATCAATTAGCTTGCTCCAGACCCTGGGAACAGCTACAGCTGTCCTTCAGCCTACAGCACCCACTTCCTTCTGCCTTACCTCATCCTGCAATTGCTGTCCCACAGGGCACAGCCTGTCCATCTGTCCTCCCTTCTGTGCACACATCAAAGCCTCAGAGGATAAAGGAATGGAAGAAAAAGAAACCAGTTGCCCAAGAGCAGTGTTTGGGCAGAGATAGGCTTGTACTGTCCCACCTGGTGGCAGCGAGCTTGTTCTGTGGAAAGAGGTGGTACAGGGAAGTGAGGGCAGCAAGCTGTCAGGATGCTTCTGCTGGAGGCTTGGCAAGAAACAGCAATCTCAGAAGAGGTTGGAGAAGCTCCTGCTCTCACTATTGAGGGCAGAGCCTTTGCTGTAGGTGAGAGATCAACTTGTCCAAAGGGAGAGAGCGGCTTTCTGGAAGGCAGAGGACAGGAAGGGAGGAGTTCATCTGGACCAGACTCCTGACTAGCTAACAGTCAGCTGTTCCTTCATGTGCTGAGAGGATGTGGGAGCCCACGGGCTTGCTGAAACGTGTGCAATCAGTGCTGCTTCTGAAGAGTCAAGAGTCCCCTGCACAGCAGAGGTGAAGCCCTGTTCCTTTCCCTTGTGCTTAGCCCACATTCAGGAGAGGCAGAGCTCTGGGGATGGCCACACAACAGGGCTGAGGCACTGCCCTGCAGGGAGTAAAGCTGGGGATGCTGGAGGAACACTGTACAGAAACACCACTGTGTGTTAGGGAGATGAAGGTGCATGCAGCTCCAGAAGCATCCTGGTGACAGGCACATCCTAGAACTGTTATTTTTGTTGGTTCATTTTTTTTCTTGCAACCTTATTTCCAGCTTTGTAACAGGAAGCATAACCTCTGGCTCTGCTTCATCAGATGTGCCTGCAGCAAAGCTAAATAGAGCTGACAGATCAGGGCTCTGCTGTTTCTCTGCAGTTAGTGCAGCACAAAGGAGGTGTGGAGGCATGTCGTAGGAGTGCTGATTTCTAGGGTGCATCTGAGCACCCTGGAGGCAGAGATTCACCTAAAACCTTGAGGGAAATTCCTAGAGCTCTGTGCTGTGGCTGGTATCCCATTGAGCAGGAGGTGTAGAGGGGGAGCAGCCATGCTGTGCCTCCCAGATGCCAGCAAACAGGGAAAGTGGGATAATAGCACGATCCCCTGGGAGTGGCTTCAAATTGAAATGGGCTGCAGGGCCGCATACTGCCCTGCCACAGAGGGGCTGCAAGGCTGCCTTGAGGGCTGTGGAGCAGCAGTAAGGTGATACACTGAGAAAAAAATTGTTCTTAACTGCCTGAGTGTTGCTGCTCTTTCTCAGCTTCCCACGCCGTCCTGTCACCAGCAGCAGCTCCCATGGCATTCTGAGCCCCATCCTGGTTCCATGTGCAGACACAGACCTCTGCTCCTGCCTTGCTGGGGCCAGCTGTGTCCCCAGCACTGCTGTCCTCTTGGGGACAAGAAGCCACAGTTGGTTTGACTGCCAAAACCCTCTATCAGTGGGGTTCCTGGGCATATTTGCCTTTCCAAATCCCGTTTGCCTTGCCAAGCTATTGAGATTGTGCTGTTCCTGATGTCTGTGTTTGGTGAGCAGTTCCATCCCCTCAGCATCCCTGTGCTGATGTTTGGTGTCACTTGAGGACGGCTGGGAGCCCACTCTACAAGTCACCATGGGGAAACAATATGTTTCCACAAACATAAGCATGGACATCATTGCTTTCTTTGTGCTCTCATTTAAACAAAAATGGTTCCTGTGGAGTTTCAGGGGGCAGTAAGTGGCTGTAGCCAAACAGGGTTTTTTTGGTTTTTATTCATAGAGAAGGCTCTGGGCTTGAGTTGAGCTTGCAGGTTGAGAGCTTGGCAACTCCTGGAAGCAGAGACTGTATAAAAAGTAAATGCTTACAAGGCCCTGCAGGCTCCCAGCTCACACCATGCAGCACCGGGGTGTCAGCAGGGCTCTGCAGCAGCTGAGGGCTGCACACTGCAGTCTGCTGGCCCCGCTCCCAGCCAGGATCCAGGTCACTTCCATCGACCTGAGCTGCGTTCTAAACAATCACATAGGTGTGAAAAAATCCACTGCCTGCTCCCTGGGCTCCGCACTTCCCACCCACTGTAGTTTTTTAAATATTCCTAATGAGCTGTCATTTTGGCCAGGGCTGGCTTGGTGACTTAAGGATCGCTGTAACAATGAGACCACAATGGGCAGGCAGAGGGGAAGGAGTGAGGGGCTTGCTGCAGTTTTATGTTTTTTTTCCCTGCTTGCTCTCTGCTGCAGTTGTTTTGAGTGGTGCAGTGATTTCTCACAGCTGGCCCTGCTATCATCCTGCTCATGTTGCTCTGCGCTGAGGCGAGGAGTGAGCTGGGGGGACTTGGCAGCCAGGCAGCTGTCCCGGAGCCTGAGCCATGAATGAGCTCAGAGGGGGAAGGAGAGAGGTTTGGATGGGAGAAAACTCTATTTGTTTTTTGTTTTTTTTGTTTTAAGTGAGAGGCTGACAGTGCTGACTGGATCCAGGCACAGCACGAGCAGGTGCTGTGTGTGCTTTGCCCATCCACAGTTCTCCCTCGGCTGTGTGGATGCACAGACCCTCCTGCAGCCATAGGCAGCTCTGATTGAGCCTCTGCCTTATGTCACCCCATTGCTCAGCTCTGGGCACAGCTTGTGCCCACCCCTGGAACTCGCATGCAGTTCTGTCAATGCACTGCAGTGCTGAGCTGTGGCAGCTCTTGGTTCTTTCCTCTCTGATGCCCCACACTGAGGTTTTTAAGCGTTATTTCCAGATCCCCATTTCTGGGCAGCAACCTGCTGACAGCCTGCCTTACATCTCATGCTGCAGATCCTAAATGAGAGCTGCATCTCGAGGTGTTTCTCTTGACTGATATCCATAGCACCTCTTGGAGCATCCTCCTCTTCTCTGTCCCTTGGTATCAGCTATTACAGCATCTCAAGCTGAGTGCTTTGTAGTATTATGAGGATTTTTTCAGCCATGGACAGGATGGGGGTGAGGTGTTCAGCCCCCATGCCACACTGCTGCCCTTGGGCATATACCTCAAGCTGAAGCAGTTTGCAGGCTGTGTGTCCACAGTTGACATCAAGTAATACAGATTGAGGCAAGTTATGACACTGTAATAAGGACACAATTCCTGCCTTGCGGAGCCTAAAAAGTATGATAATGCATATCTGGTGCTCTGCAAGCGTGGTAACACCCACCAATACAGGGTTTGCAAAATGAAACCCACCAGGCTGCTGCTTTGGAGCTGGGGTGGTATGAACTGAGGGCAACCCACAAAAAGGTGGTGCAGAGTCTGGCACAGCACCACAGGCTGCTGCTTTGCAATGGCTCATCCTGAAATAGGTTGCTGTCTCCGTTATCCTGGGCACGTCAGCTCCAAGGCTTTCCTGGAGGGTACTGCAAGTTTCATTTTAAACACAGTCACCTTGGGATTCTTTGGAGATGTTGATGATGTGTTGCAGGATGATCTCCAGCACACGGTGTGTGAATGGTAGAATGGGCTGAAACCAGAACTCCTGTGAGACTGAGCATGCTGTGAGCTTTAATGCTCATGAAAATGAGGGGCTGTTATTCTTTCCTCTAGATGTGGGCTGTGTCAGTGTGTCCATACATCTCTGCTGGTCCCTTTTCCTAGCAAGCCTTGGTTTGTCTGCTCCCTCATACAAGCTATTTGTAACACCGTAGTCCTCTGTAGACATGAGTTTGCCTGGTCTGCTGGCTTCTTTTCCATTGGCATCTGGAAAGCTCCCAGCTTTGCCCTGTGCATTGCACTTGATTGGCTGTTCCCATGGTGCTGAGCAGGCAGCCTTGCTTTGAGGGGGCACTGGCTGTCAGTACTTTGGTACTGGGTGTGGAAGTGGTTGGGTTTGGGCTGCTCTGGGCATGTTTTCAGGGCTGCTCCATCCTTTGGGAACACAAGCAAACAGCAAAGTGGGTCAGTGGCAGACACAGAGCCATGGCAGCAATCAGCTGCGTGCTGCCCTGCTAACAAACAACCTTTTATATATACCTTAATAGTTATTGCAGATGCCAGGTCCCTGCTCGTGTCCTTCCAGGCATCTGCTTGGGCAAATGCTGTGCTGTGGTGGGGAGCAAGCCAGGAAGCAGCTCCAGTTCTGGAGAGCTTGCCAATAGTTGTGTGCAAATACTTCTCCTGGGGTTATCTAGATGCCAGTGCCCTGGTGCTCTTCTGAGTGTGCTACCAAAAGCAGCTGCAGCCACGAAGCTTTGTGCTGCACCTGTTTGCTGCTCCCTGCTCTGGGGGTGGGATGCTGTTATGGGTGTGCACTGATGGGAGCATGCTACTCTAAATTCTTCACAATGCAATGGAGTGGTGGTGAGGGCTGTGCTTAAGTTGATGCAGATGGGTGCAAATGGGGTTGCTGGATGAGCCTGCAGTGTTTACTA